TTTGACTTTTTTCTCGACTTATATTACACAGTAAATGCTCAACAACAAGTTTTTTTTGTTCTTTTTTTAAGTGTCCTGCAATCAGGATGAAATGTCTGATTAGTGGTCAGATACTTTTAAAACTGTAAAGATAGTGATTAGGACTGCGGCGAAAAAACTACAGCCCCTTCATAAGCCTTTGACCTCTCACAATTAAAAGAGGATAATCACACTTGATCCTATTAATGCTGAGTGATATATCCACCTATAAGGGTCTTAACACAAATGTTTTCAGTGCTTAGCACACCGATCCCAGAGCAAAAAAACAGTGTTAGGAGTAAAGGCTGTAAAGAATTCCCCTGGATAACACACTTACATACTGAAATATCTAACTCTCTGCAGTGATTTAGTACTGAATTATTGAGCCTTCAGCATCAACATACACTGAATACCATGAAAATCACGATGTTAAAAAAAGTATGCTTTTCTTAGTTTTCCTGGAAAAGAATTTCATTGAGCTTTGTAGTCTACACCATCTAAAAGCGAAGGAAAATCCCTTCAGAGGCTTCAGATATGAGTCATGACGCACTGAAGACACAACAGGGGGCATTGCCTGAGACGAAGATGACACTGGAAACTAGATAATAACACTAACACAACCTGTATATGGCACAACATCTTGTCAGATGCTTTGATTCCCTGTGTCTCCAGCTTTCACAATGCCATTATTCATGGTCAACACTGGGACATAAAGCTGCTTCCTCCAGCAAGGAGGGAAAGTCACAACTAGGACATAAATCACTGTAGACACATCACAACAGGGCCTTAGAAACTCAAATGTAGTGACAAAACAAGGATGCTCATTGTTGAAGTGTAATTTTACAAGAAAACAGTGCTTATGAATCACAGCTTTGAAACAAATTTGAGTCGGTTTGCCTTCTGTAGCTATCACTTGATGTTTGAAATTAGCTGTTGTAATAAAGTTGACAGAAATGAGAGAAAGCTTTTGTTATACGTCCGGAAAAAAGGATCTGTTTTTTCTTCCCATCTAAGACGTCCCAGTAAAATAGATCATGTCCTTAAAGTTTTTAGGCCCTGGCCATCCGTGTGTGGTGTCAGAGTTAGAAATCTTAGCTTCAACAGGCCGTTCACATGCTCACTCCACATTTTTCCTTCACATATTGTGTCCACATATGAGAAGATAATGTCGTTGAACAACATAGCAGCATAGTGCTATGACTTCGGCGCATTTAGTTTGCAGGAACAAGTCAACAGCTTCTTTGGTATGTTTTTCAGAGATGCAGACATTTACACTACGTGAAACTCAAGAACAGTGGTTCTCAACCTCTGGGTGCAGGATGCAATCGAGGGAATGAATCAAGACTAGACGCTGACACAAACTTCATCTAATACCAGATACCCTTTGCTTCTGTTCTAGCTTCTCAAATATGAGGATTTGCAACTTTTCTATTTGTTATGTTTTAAGGTGTAAATGTCTTTTTGATTTTGGACTGTTCAAACAAAACCAGCAATGTGAAGACATAACCTTGGAAACTGGGAAACTGTGATGGGCATTTTCACTATTTTCTATACTCATTAATCAGTCAAAGTCAAAGTCAAAGTCAGCTTTAATGTCAATTCTTCACATGC